TACAAAGCAAACCAGGCAACCAAACACACCATGCGCTAGCCAGAGCTTAGACAGTACAGATAACCAAACAACAAGGGATTGATTTGGTAGGAGGAGGCTAAGGCCGTCATGGCTAATAAGAAGCTAGCCACGCTAGAAACAGGCTACAAAACCAAACACATCCTATAAGCATCACACATGTCAGAGGGTTCTCAGCTCCTATAAACCACTCCACCAGCAGCCGGCGGCCCGGTGCCAAAAAAAAGTCAAGAGGGGTGTTGAGATAGAAATTTGCGACATGCATGTTTAACTAATCATCAGTGTGAGGAGGGGTGTTGAGATAGAAATTCAGTTGCGACATGCATGTTTAACTAATCATCAGTGTGAGGCCATTAGATACTGATGGATATGGTAGAAGAAGTTCTGATTGAACACGCACGCACGCTCGGACGCCACTAAGTCTGCACTACTTCTTCTTCTTCTTCAACCTCCCGACCTTGCTCGCCGCTTCTGTAGTTTTTTTTTGAAGGAACTCGCCACTTCTGTAGTTGTGTTTACACCAGCAAGAAGATTGTATGTGTCGTTGCAATTAATGCCACCGCCATGATCACGCTGGCTTTCGCCTTCCGGTGCATTTTTTTATTCATGTCGTCTCAGAAACATCTCTTTTGACGTACTATATACTATAATTAGCGCATCGTTACATACGATATTATATATGGAATAATGCACGGGTGGATGTGCTTCTTTGATTCCTCCCGGTGTCATGTCCGGTGTCTCCCAATTTTATATACCCTGGCAGTGTCCAGGTCTCCATCAAGTGCAATTCCAGTGACGTGTCAATATGCACCATGCATGGCTTTTAGTTGTATATATATATATGTACTCCTCCATCTCAAATTGTAAGTCATTCCAAGAATCTTTGACGTTTTTTAAATTTGTAAAATTATAGAAAAAACAAAAGATTGATGACATCAAATGCATGAAGAATCTTTGATAGTTGTATATATATTTTGTTATATAAATTTGGTCAAACTTGAAAAACTTTGACTCTCCAAGATTTTTGGAATGACTTACAATTTGGGATGGAGGGAGTAGTATTCATTTGTTGATAATCTCCAAGTTTTAGCTAGTAAAAAGCTAGCTCTGAGAGTGACGCATGGATTTAGCTAGCTCTGAGAGTGACGCATGGATTTTGTTTCTTGTAGATATACATGCTGCAGTAAAAAAAAATCTTGCCTTTTGATAACTATATATTTAGCTTCTTTCTTATCAGATATAAAGTTGACAAGGAATGAATAGAGGTCTATTAATTAAACAGTCTCTCTCGCTGTGCTCAGCTTTGTTATTGGTCGCAAGGCCTTGTCACGTATGCTTTTTCGATCGAGGAATCTGAGTTGAGTCGTCGGCCTAGGTCCCCCTAAATAAAGGCAAGAGAACCTCCGTTTAGTTGTCACTGCTAGTAAGTTTAATTTGTCATAGATAGATAACCATGTGGTAGATACTCTACCATATTTTAGAAAATAAAGCTAGAGAACCTTAGATATATTAGAACAGGGCTTTGTTATTTTGGTAGTAATTAAGGTCATTATACATTCTAGTTTATATTAAATAATGGCAAGGGCATATATATGACGGAGGGAGACGTGGGATGCCCGGCTTTGTGGATTACTTTTAAGTGGCGATTACTTGACCACCTTGGTATTTGCTTCTTCTATTTTTGGAGTGACATATTAATAGCAACTTCAGTCCCATAATATATCTACTTTTGGGTTTATCCTAAGTCAAAACTGTATATGTCATGTACTTAGGTTTGACAAAAAAAAAAATTAACACGGTGGACACCAAATTAGTAGAGTTAGATCAATGGAAAAAATTTTACAATGTCATAGATATTTGGGGCCGAGGGAGTTAAATAATTTGATTTGGGATAAACTCATAAACCCAAAAGTAGCTATATATATTTTTTTGGTCAAAGGTAGTATAAATTTTTTTTGTACTTGGCCACGAGAATTAAGTTGAGTGGTACCATAATTGTAATATTGTTTGTTGATCATTGCTAGAGTAAGGGCCTGTTTGATCTCATTCTCATAATAAAAATTTGGATTCGAGACAGTGAATATAGAATATGAATTCTGGATTAAAAATTGAGGGATGTTTGGATCTCATCCTCAAAGTGATCATTGTCTTTGCATAGTGAAAATCTCCAAATAGTAGTTTGAAATAGATAGTTAGATTCATAAAATCCACTCTAGAATCCAAGTGCTTGGATCTCATTCTCATTTTCCCACCTTGTTCTCATTTTTCTTATAAGATCCAAACAGGACCTAAGACGAGTGGCAATTTGTTGCATTAATTTGCTAGTGTACTTTTTTTTACAACAGCTAGTGTACATTTAAGAAGTGGTAGAATAAAGAATAGTTGCATTAATTTGCTAGTGTACATTTAAGTGGTGGTAGAAATGAAGAATATATAGAGCATAAAAGTGCACTAGAGTTATCAGGAACGTCTTGTACTTATATTTTGGTGCATTTATGATAAGACCATGGGTTTGTTTGGTTTAGATGTGAGCTGCGGGAAACTATTGTGGTCTATTTTTTTTTTGAGAATTACACAATACAACGTAGATGCCCCAAGCTTTGGAAAAGTTGTTGTAAGCTATATATTGTGGAAACTTATAAGCTATTTGATTGAAACAACTATGAAACTTACTCCATCTCTCTATCTCCCTTGAAACAAACCGTGAAGCATCTTTCTATTTTCACCCATTCTAAAAAGGTAGAAAGCTAGAAGCCAAAAGCAGGATTAAAAATATTGCAAAAATTATACTATGTGAAAACAGTGCTTCTGAAAAAGTAGATGTGAGGTTGGCGTTCTAGTTCTTAGTAGCAGAAGCATTTTCCAGAAACAAAACCAAACGCATCCTATATATGGGCATATGGATCAGATGGAGTAGGATGGAAGGATTAAATGACTAGTATTATAGAAATCATAAGAAACTGACCGCTGAATTCCCGCTGGCTCCAAAAATAAAACTGGTTCACTCCAAAGTTGCTTATAAGTTACTTATATATATAAGCACTGGAACGCACGTTTTGTAAACCAGCATGAAAGAGCTAGCACTAAGCGTTACAATTACAAAGCGGGAGAGCAGCAGGAGAAGCGTACACGCACGTAAAAGTCCTGGGCACCTGGACCCTGGGTACGTCCAAGGATCATGCCATGCTTCTCTCTTAGTAGAATCTTTTCAAAAGGCAATCCATGGCAACGATGACATGTTCCGATCGCGTCATAAGATTGTGATAGACGACGGTACGCAGCATACTTTGAATTTAGTCAAGCTAGAAAAGGTTAACCTGGTTTAAATCTGGTTGGGCTAAACTTTAGGTATTACTCCGTAATTAAAAGTAGTGGACTACATTTTAGTTTCGAACCCAACTACGTTAGCAAACGTGAGGTAAGATGATGTAAAAGATGCACATGAGTCTTCCTTTGTCTAGGTAAGCTACACTACTACAAAAACCATTTTTAGCAACAGAGTATAGCTACCTACTTTTAATCAATGCATTCAAGGAATGGGGATAGGACAGCCGCAGCCTCTTGCAGGCAGGTCTTCTCCATTCTCCATTCCTGCGTCCAAGGAGAAAATCGGAGGGGAGGAGAAAGCCAAGCCAAGGCCCAAGGCGCGCTGCCGCTGCGTCCTATGGTTTTGTCTTGTCCGGGATGTGGCAGTACATGTGCTGCTCCTGCGTGCTGCGTGCGCTCAGTAGTAGGCTACGTAGGCTGTGCGCCTATGGCCGGTAAGGATCGTTCAGCCATGCTTATTACGTTAGATTGATCTCAATCCTAAACTGAGCCCAACGGTCTGATTGGGTCTTTTTCACGCCAAAATCAAAGCGTTCAACCTACTATAGTATTTTTTTTCTCTCGCAACAAAACAATATTATCGTTTACCTAGCTTATTAGCCGAACAGGATGATGGCAGCAGCACATGGCTTGGCTTTGGCTCTCGCTGTCATTCGTGAACCATCACTTTATTCCGATGCCCAATTCTCGCCCGCCCGCCCGCTGGCGATTTCTGAATTCTGATTCTGATCCCTCTTCTCCTCTCCTCTGCAAGGAATTCGATCGGCGAATTACCCAGCAGCAACAAGCCAACAACTTCATCGGCTGTTCATCGTTGCAGCAGCGGTGGAGGGCCGGGAGATGAGAGATCATCAGAATTCAGAAGAAGCAAGCACAAATGCTGGAGCGACAGTAGTGGAGACCTGACAGCGGTGCCAATAGCCTCACACTCATCACTCACTCAAGTCTCTCACTCTCACCCGATGACTTGACAGCAGCTTGTTCAGTCCCGTGGATGATGATCTTGTGATGTGATTGCTGGCAACAATAAAACAACAAACAAACGAACACACTAGCAGCTATAGCTGCTGGTACTACCTCCGTCCAAGAAAAATGCAATTACGGGATTCTTAAGTTTGACCAAGTTTATAGTAAATAATATTAGTATTTTTGTCTTCAGATAAAATTTATTATGAAAATATATTCTATAACTAATCTAACGGTATTTATTTTATATCATGAATGATAGTAGTTTTTTATATAAATTTAGTCAGAGTTTAAACTCTCAGTAACTCCTGTTTCGGTGCGTGTTGGCCTGTTGGACAGGATTGGATGGATCATGTCATGGATCTTTGCACTTTGCAATTGGATCCATCTTTACGGAGCAAATTACTTTACTTATAGCCAAAATTCAAAACTGGCCAGGGGAAGGAAGAGAGATAACCCAAGGGGCCTTTCTCTCCGACGTCGACGCCGTCAGTTACGACACCATTATTTGGCACGTAAAGCGCGATTATAAAACCCCGCCACACTCCAAGCCAAGCCCCTCCTCTTCTCTTCCAACGCCACGCCTTTCTTCCCTTGCCTCTCGCTCTCGCTCTCCGTCTCCGCGCACCAAGAAGAGATCTCTTGCCAGCAAGGGAAGGGAGCCGCCTCGCCACAGCAGAAACCCACCCATGCAGCCGAGCGGCCGCGAAATGCAGGGCGGCGGGCAGGACGACTTCTTCGACCAGATGCTGTCCACGCTGCCGGCCGCGTGGTCCGACCTCGGCTCCGGCAAGTCGCCCTGGGAACTCCCCGCGGGGGCGGGGGCCGTCCCCGAGGACGCCGCCGCGTACGACGAAGCCACGCTCCTCGCCTCGCGCCTCCGCCACCACCAGATCAGCGGCGGGGAGAAGCCCCTCATGCTCCACCTCAGCGACCTGCACGGCCTCGGCGGGGGAGGGGGCGGCGACGACGCGGGGTTCATGCCGCTGCCGCTCTTCACTGACCGCGCCAGGGACGACATGGACGCCGCCTTCAAGTCCCCCAATGCCGCCGTGAGATCCTTGTGCCTGCTCTCCGCACCAAAACTCCCGGTCGTTTTGCCCGCGCGCCGTTGACGTGTCCCGCGTTTTGCAGGGAACCGACCAGGCGCTGTACAACGGGTTCGGAGCCGCTGCGATGCATGCCGCCGCCGCCGCCGCCGCCGCCGTGCATCAGCCGCCGTTCGGGCAGGTACGCCGCCGTACCGGCCACTACCCATGCCCGCGTCCGGTTCATCACAAAAAAAGTTGCACTCGCAGTTATACTGCACAATCACTTTGCTCCCCCATTCATGGCGCCAAAGCTACTGTTTATTCAATTCGTTTTCTGTCTTGTCTTGGCTGATCAATCAATTGGGACTGAAAAAACCGTGGCTTCTCTCCTCGTGTGGTGACTGGTGAAAGGGCGGGTCAATGCCAGCGGCGCAGAGCTTCGGGGGAGGCGCGCCGGCCGCCGGAGCGGCGTCGGGCGGAGGAGGAGGGGCCGCGCCGCCGCGGCAGCAGCGCCAGCGGGCCAAGAGGGGGCAAGCCACTGACCCTCACAGCATCGCCGAACGTGTACGCCACTCTCCCTCCACCACCTTTCCCTTCTCCCTTCCTCCCATTTTTTAATGCTTCTGCATCACTGCGTACATGTATGTCTCCTCTCTACTGTGGTGTTCTTGACTTCTTGTACCTGGAGCTCCACAACTCTTGGACCTTGTAGTTTGACCTGCCAGCCACAGACCTCAATTCCACTGCTCCGATTTGAACTGCAAACTTTGGCCCCAAATTGAATTGTGGTTCAGTGTTCAGATACAGCAGAGATTAGAATCAGAGATGAGCTATCTGACGAACTGTTTTGAGTCTTTGCCGATTCAGTTCCATACTTTCAGTTGTGTCCACTCGCTCACGCTGGCCACGCGTTTGATGCAGCTCCGGAGGGAGAGGATAGCGGAGAGGATGAAGGCGTTGCAGGAGCTGGTCCCTAACGCCAACAAGGTATGCCAGATTTTCCTCTCTTTTCTCCCTTCTTTTTCCCCCCTTTGCCCTTTCTTTTGAACAAAGTAGCAGGGAAGCTTTCCCTGAAATGTGGTGAGGATGCATTCCTTCTTTTTTGCACTGTTTGCGTGCTGTATGGGCGCATTTTCCCTTAAATTCAGTCTTTGGTGATACGCTATCTTGACTTGTTTTCTTTTAATTATAACGTGCTGTGCTCAAAAGATTGGTAGAATGATGAGTGCCTCATAAAATAGGAAAACATGGTAACTGAGGCATATTGTGCATTGCCCAATTTACTAATTTGGTGGACTCGATGTGTCGGACCTCCATTGGAGCATTTGGACTTCTGTTTTTTACTAAAAGTTCCGCTGCCGATGAACAGCTAGCGCAACAGCATGTGAAACAGCTAACATGTGACATTATCTGGGGGATGTCCATCATTGGAAGACACAAGATGATTCCTGAATTAGTTTAGCTCAGGAGGGTTCGACAGGTTAACTAGGCTTTGGTATAAAAATATAAAATACACAGCTACATATGAACTTCCAGACATACCTTGCAAAACACTATAGCTGGAGACATGGGCATTTGTCTAACACGCCTGCTTCTTCTGTTCCCCACGAACACCACGTGCCACGGTTGTTCCGGAAGCCCCTACTGGCACATCGGATATCCTTTTTGGCACAACTTGCGGTCACTGTTAGAGTATCATGAAGCTACAATGAACGTTGTTCCGCTGCCCTTTGGAATAAAAACATCGTTCGTCATGTCTTAGTCGATAGAGCTTCCATAGCACAAACTAAGAACGGACATAAGATCACTGTCGCTGAAATGATCATATATCACATGGAATTTTGTTTGCAGACCGACAAGGCATCGATGCTTGACGAGATCATTGATTATGTGAAGTTCCTCCAGCTCCAAGTCAAGGTATTTCTGCTTTCCTACACCTATAGCTAGGTTACTGTGGGATGAGTTCCTAAATTCTTCTCATAATTTGGGCACTCAAAAACTTGTCCAAATTCATGACTCCTCAGATGTTCCCCGTTCTTGCAGGTTCTTAGCATGAGCCGATTAGGCGGAGCTACAGCCGTCGGCCCTCTAGTTGCTAGCATGGCATCAGAGGTACCTATTGTTGCGTTATATGCTCTTCTATTTTGAAAATTAAAGCGCCAGCAAGCCAACGACCCAATTGATACAACTAAACTTTCTGGGCCAAGTATGTTGAACCCTGAAATGCTCTAATGATGTTCACTGAATCACAAAGCGATCAGGGAAAAAGGTTATCCTTTTGGCCATTGTCCATTCCGAACAATTTAACCATCATTTGGCCCATCCAAAATTGTTTATATTGGTCTAAAGTTGATCCCTGATCAAGTCTATCCAATAGCAAATAAATATATAGAGATCTTATTTCAGATTCTAGCTTTAGCATTCCAGGACTAAAAAGCCACCGACAAGAGCTACTAAAACCAAACAGCATGCTTACAGATTTGCACGAAATCAAAAGGAGATATGTCCCATGCATAACTTTGCTTAAGGAACTCATCAAGCATTAGTGGCCAACACAAAGGAAAAAAGTATGTAGGAATCTTTGTTGTTAAGGACTGGAGCCAAAAAGGAAAAACACGCCTGAAAAGTGATTACATGGTACTGATCAAGCATTTAAGCTGTAGGAGCTACTAACCCACTAAGGAGAATCCCCAACTCCTGAACATGCCCCTGCTGCTATAAGGTCAACCAAATCAAATCCGACAAAATTCCCATCAATAATCTTTATTATCTTGATGAGTGGCAAACTGCACATCAGCTTTTATTATCTTGTGCACCAGCCAAATCGCCAATGGAATCAAATTCAAATCCTTGTTGCAGGGCAATGGGAATGGAAATGGCACAAGCGACAGCGGAAATGGCAATGCCGCCAACGGCGAGAATGGTGGTGGCAGTCTGCAGGTGACGGAGCAACAGGTGGCCAGGTTGATGGAGGAGGACATGGGCACCGCCATGCAGTACCTGCAGGGCAAGGGGCTCTGCCTGATGCCGATCTCTCTAGCCTCGGCCATCTCCTCCGCCACATCGTCGTCCCTCCTATCCCGCCCCTCCATGGGCACAATGGGAGGTGCTAGAGGTCCCCTGCACGACGGTGGTAGCCCTGCATCGCCGCCGCTGGTGAACAGTGGTGCCGGTGGCGATGATTCCAGGTCCATCAAGGATGCTGGTGCCGGCGGTAAGCAGTGAAGGCAGTGTTCTTGGCTTATTGCCTTGAGAGGTTGTGTGTTCAGAAGGGTGGTCTTGTAGGGTTGGAATTGTCAAGTGGCCCAGCAGGGATTTTCCCCTCCACTTTTCCTGCCCCCCCTTTTGTTTGTTTATAAGAAATGATGTTTAATCATGCAACCTTTAGCTCCATCTTTTCATGTTTACCTCTCCCCTCCTCTCCTTTTGGGCCTGATGACTGAGCTGCTCCTGTGATCCGTAGCTTTTCTTTTCTGTTAAATTTGTCGCGAAGCTGTCGTGTCTGCTCTTGTTAGGTGGTGGCCGTGGATGTGAGGAGGAATCGAAATTATTGGTCCAAAGGGATCATATTCATATCCCAAGCCCGGGTACAAATTGATCAAATGAGATGAGATTAGGGTGGTATCAAGTGCAAAGCTAGTCAACAAAATGAAAGATTATGTTGAGAATTATTAAATGAGTTGCTTCATCACAGTCACAGATGATGATGAGCTGCAAAGTCTCCTCTCCACTGCTGAAATTAGGTGCTTCTCGGACAACCAGATAACCTTAGATATAAGAGCCTGTACTTTAAAGCTAAGCACACATAAAGCCCCGTTCAGCTTACCTTAAATCCGGCTTGTTCGGTTTCTTTTTTTAGCCGGAACAGTGTTTTTCTCTCACAAACATTTCAGCCAGAACAGTGTTTTCAGCCAATTTTAACTAAGTTTCAACAAGCCGAACGGGCCTGATGTAATACTATTATAGAGGGAAGGACAGATAAGGTGCTTCTGTTGTAGCGCGTGTCTGCTTACAGATGTACGGTGCTAGACAGGTGTTTGCGATCGCCTAACCCTGATGGTTTGAAATCTTGAATGCTCTCTCCATTCGCAAACATACATGTAGTTACAGTTGGACACTGGCAGGAAACCCGTGGGGAATGCTTGAATATAAGAAACAGAATAATTTGAAACTAAGACCCCAGCGGAACATGAGATTTTTTTTCTTGTTTCCTGCTTTTGTCATGTCTTATGAAAATAAACCGACTCCTATAAAACTTACATATGATTTCTATGAAATTCCTGCGTTCCAAAAAAAATCCTATGAGCTTCGGTCAATCTGTTTGGGAAGGTGTGATGATGCAGCATTAGAGATTGTCGATGCGCAGGCGACGACACACGGTTGGATGGTACGAGAGGCTACTGAGTGGCAATATTCCCTCCCTGCCTTCAATCCGCACGTCGCGATGGGCTGGCTGCAAGTAAACAAATCAGGAAGCCAAGATCGTGGCTCATGGGCCGTATTTACCAGATACGTCCAACCGATTGAAGGATCCCAGCAGGAGATGCACCCACGTTGGTGAAGTAGATGAAGGGCATCTTTCATCGTGGTTTAAGAAAACGAAAACTTCTAGTGACAGCACTAGTGAACAAGGGCCATAGAAGAGAAGGTACAAGGTAGTAGTAATCTAGAATTGGACCACAAGATGACAGGACTGCAAAATTTGCAATGACGCAGATGAGATCTCCACCCTCAGGGGAAACAACTCAACAATGTTGAAAGTTGGAACAAAGAAAAATGGGGTTTTCAGTTGAGTTATCTGTTACTTTGACCTTTCCCAATCGATGTCGCTAAATAATTGAGTGAAAACCACGGGGCTGACAAAGACAGAAAAGGGATATGCCAAGCGTAAAGCATAACTGAAAGGCCATGAGAGTGCCGATATATTGAGGTGAATGTAGCCAGCTTTTCTTTTGGGTGGTCTCCTTCCAGCCATAAATGCACAGTGAATGATGAACACCACACAAGGAAGATAAGGGTACTTTTCCAACTGTCCAAGTCCGAGAAATTTACTGTACCATTCATCAAAATGGATCGGCCTGTTGCAGGCATGGCGAAAGCTGTTTGGAGATGGGACAGCACAATGAACAGCAGACGTATGAAATCATCGCCCTTACTTTGGGTATCCACGATGAACCATGACCTGGCTACAGAATTGTCGGGGCTGAGAACAACCCCCTGTTTAGATTGGGTCAGGAATCAGTATTTGACACTATAGCATTTTCATTTATATTTGATAATTATTATCCAATTATGGCCTAACTAGGCTCAAAAGATTCGTCTCGTAATTTACAATCAAACTGTGTAATTAGTTATTTTTTTATCTATATTTAATACTCCATACATGTGTCCAAAGATTTGATGTGATGGAGAGAGAGTGAAAAAACTTACAATCTAAACAAGGCCCTGTAGGATCACGGGTATCTTAGAAAACTTGGGACCAGTAAGATAATCGACAAGCTATATATGCTGGCAGCCAGAAAGAGAAGTATTAATCCTAGCAGTAGATGGGTATGCTTGTGAAACTACTACTGCACTCAACATTAGATCTTCTGAACAGGTAGGATCCCGAAGGTACGAACGTGCATTTGTCCTCTATGTGGGTTTTGGTGTATTGATGACATACAAATTAAGGACTAATGAGATATTAATGAGATATATTACAGCTTTAGTCCATTAAAAGTTTCAAAGAGTTAATTTAAGATGAAATGGTATCCCTCAATTCTTCAAGTGCAAAACGCAAACGAACCCAAAGCGCGCTTCAAGCATTTTTAATTTTGTTTTGGGTTTAGCGTTTCACCGCGTGAGAAGAAACAATGTCGGAGACCGACAAGATGCAAGCCAACGCCACCGAGATCGCCAAGAAGATAGCTGAAGAGTTGATGACTGCTCAAGTCCGGTTCTTTTAAGATGAAATGAAAAAGATGCAAGATGAGATAAACAAGATGAAGGAAGAATTGAGCAAGAAGGTTGATGATGCAATAAGTGGCAACAATGATGCAACAAGTGACAAGAATGAAGCAAACAAAAATGTCGCTAGTGATATTGGAGCCGGTGAGCATGCTCATGGAAAGGGAATATATTCGAGCATGAACTTCGACTATGGACAACTTATCAAAGGTTCACCTCTACATACCCATTCCGTCAACATTGGCAAGCCACCTCACTTTGATGGAACGAGATACACCGATTGGCCCTACAAGATGAAGATGCATCTCATTGCCGCAAGACTTTGAAAAGTTATGGATGTTGGTGTGATGATTCCTACCGATGAAGATAGAGAGATAACTCCGGAAGAAGTGCACAATCTCCATCAAAATGCACAAGCCGTAGCTTTGCTTGTGTCAAGCTTAAGTCCGGATGAGTTTAGAAAGGTAAATGAAATGGAAAGTGCAAAGCAAATTTGGGATACTTTGAAAGTGTCATTTGAAGGAGATAAGAGTGTGAGAAAAGGCAGCATTGAGTTGCTTCATGGTGAATTGAAAAGATTTGTGTTCTTACAAAATGAAACTACACAATCCATGTTTGATAGGCTTATGGCATTGGTCAACCGCATAAGAGCTCTTAGAAGCATCGAATGAGATGACAACAAGGATGCTAGAAAGATGTTGAGAACATATAGAGCCAAGAACAATATGTTAGCGTCCGTGATCATGGAAAGGCCCGGTTATGATGAGATGACATCTCAAGTTCTTTCAAAGCTCAAGCATCATCAGTGTCTAGATGAAGATGCAATCAATGCTCACAATCAAAATCCTAATGCAATGAGATACAACAAGAATGCAGCCCTAAAGACAACTCAAGCTCATGAAGGCAAACCCTCTAGTCAAGAGAAGAAGAAAATGAAGGATGATTCCTCAAATGAAGAAGAATAGTCCGATCATCATTAAAAACTTTAGAAAGTTTATAAAGAAGAGCAACCAGAAGACTTACGGTGATGGAAAGAGAAGGAACAAGAAGAGGTTTTGCTATGGTCGTGGCCAAACCGGACACTTCATAGCCGATTGTCCTAATGAGAAGAAGCACAAGCATGACAAGAATGAAGACAAGAAGAACAAAAGCAAGAAGAGAGGTGAAGCTCATCATGGTGAAGAGTGGGAGTCAAATGATAATGACTCAAGTGATGATGAGAAGAAAAAGCAGGGGGCTGCAAACATCGCCATCCACCACTCTTCGTCACCGACCATGATCTTTCCCGACTCGACTTCACCACCAAAACTCTTCCCCAATTTATCTTCATCACCAAGGCTCTTCTCCAACCTCATCGACAACGACTACTACACTCCAACTTGCCTCATGGCTAAGGGGGAGAAGGTACATGTCTCATCCGATCCCTCTAGTGATGAGTATGATAGCTGTGATGAGAACATAGAACTTGAAGCGACCATGATAAAGAAATTTGGTAAAAAGGCCTACACTAAAATAAAAACGTTAATGAAGAAATTAGAAAATAGGGATAGATGCTTGGAGATGCAAGAAGACATAATCACTCAAGAGAGAAACAAGAACCTTGCACTTGAAGCATTTATCGCCGAGGAAAAGATAAAAGTTGAAAAGTTAATCGTTGAATTGTCTTTAGCCAATGACTCAATTGAGAAATTGACTAAGGAACATTCCTCGGTTAATGATCTAGTGGCTAGCCTCAAGAGTGAGAAGAGTATAGCTCAAGAAAGCCTCACAAGCTTAAAAAAATATCAAAATCTTGAGCTAAACTATAGTACTCTTTGGGCTAGCACTTCAACTTCTCCAAAGGCAACCGAAGACTCTAATGTCTCCACTAGTAATGGTTGTAAAAGATGTTATAAAGTTGATGTAAATGCATATGCAACTAACCTTGTTGAGCTAGAGAAGAAAGACAAAGAGGTTCATAGGTTGAAGATGATCTTGAAGAATGGGTGCAAGTGTCAAGAGCAATCCAACAAGACTATATACAAGTCATCAAAGCACCCATCAATTAAGCAAGGCATTGGCTACAAAAAGTATGATGGAAAGACCAATGAAAGGAACATGATCAATGGTGTGCCTTGTGTGACGTTCAACAAGGGTGTTGCTCTTGATGAGCTTATATGCAAGGTCAACAACAAGGTCTACATTCACAAGATCCAACCTACAAGTGACGAGTCAATCAAGACAAAGCAATCCGAGGCCCCCAAGCCACAAGCACCACTTCCACGGTGCTATGCTAGTAACTATATGTGTTGTTGGGACAAAGATGACAAGATTACAGTCAAGTATGTTGGTGCCCAAAAGAGAAATGAGATTATAAGTAGTGTTTGGGTGCCCAAGTTTTATGTGACTAACCTCCTAGGACCCAAATCCGTTTGGGTACCTAAAATAAAAGCTTGATTTATCTTTGTAGAAATATTCCTCCGGTGAAACAAATTGGATGGTGGATAGTGGTTGCACCAATCATATGACCGGAGAGAAAGACATGTTCACATCATTCCAACCTAGTCATGACCAAAGTGGGAACATTATGTTTGGTGACAATGGAAAATGAGTTCTCGGTTTGGGTAAAATTGCTATCTCAAATGATAATTCCATTTTCAATGTTTTACT